GGAATTAAGGGGCAATTGAGTGGGTGATTTATGCTCCGGTGTTGGGCCGAGGTATAGACCGAACAAGTTGAGGGCCCAGCAGAGCATTGGGCCGAGATGATCGACTGTTCACTCGGAGATGGGCTACCAGAAGTTGGGCCGGGCAGAGTTTGGTCTGTGTGCTGCCCCAGACCGTGCAGAAGCTACTCGGCCAGGAAGTGACCGGTCAGGCTAAAGACGTGAAGCGATTTGTCTGGCAGAACGTGGTCACGCGGTTTGGCGTCCCCAAGATTTTGATCTCTGACAATGGCACCCAGTTTGACGGTCGCTTATTCAGAGGATTTTGTGAAGATTTGAAGATAGAATTCTACAACTCCACCCCGGCTTACCCGCAGTCCAATGGTCAAGCCGAAGCATCGAATAAGACTATACTGGATGGGTTGAAGAAACGGCTGGAAAAGGCCAAGGGCAAATGGGCTGAGGAATTACCTAGCGTCCTTTGGGCATACAGAACAACCCCGCGATGTTCCACCAGGGAAACTCCATTTGCTTTGGCTTACGGCATGGAGGCGGTCATATCTTTGGAAGTTGAAATGCCCACCCTCAGAAGCGAGAGTTTTGAGCCTGAGCTGAACACCGAGGCTATTTCCTTGGAGCTGGACCTAGTGGACGAGCGTCGGGAGAAGGCCCTCATCCATGTGGCCGCCTACCAACATGAGCTCTCAAAGAAGTATAACAAGACGGTGCACCCCAGACCGTTCAAAGTTGGTGATTGGGTTTTGAGGAAGATTATGGGCAACACCCTGGTGCCAGGAGAAGGCAAACTAGAGGCAAATTGGGAAGGACCCTACATGATCACTGGTCTGGCGGGCAAGGGGGCTTACCACTTGGAGGATTTAAAGGGAAGAGCAATACCTCGGCCATGGAATGCGGCCAACTTGAAACTGTATTATTTTTAAGCTTCTGCTTTCTTTTCTTGTGCAGAGAAATTTTTTGGCTTGCACCACAGCATGTAATTCTTTTTGTCAATTTATAGAAGTAATTTTGCTTTAGCACTTGGACTATTGTTTTCATGTTACGAACCGAGATGATGTACTCCGGTTGGAAGAGTTGGTGTCTTGTCCAACTTAGGATTCCCAACCGAGATGATGTACTCCGGTTGGAAGTGTTGATTTGTTCAACTTTGTTACAACCGAGATGGGTATTTCGGTTCATGAATTTGTTTTGTTATGCTGAAGTGCTTCGACCGTGTTGTGGATTCCGGTCGACAAAGTGTTGTTCAAACGATGAGTTATACCGAGATATTTTGCTGAAGATGGAATTGGTTACTACCGTGCAAACACTTAGAAAAATTTGAGTTTCTCATTGAAAAGAAAATCATTACAAAAGGTGGGGACAGAGCTCGGTTACATCAAAAGAGTTGGAAGCAAAACTACAAAAAAGAACAAAGAGAACAGAACTAAACTAGGGGGGAGAGATTGGTGAACTCGTCCTCGCCAGTATCAAGGTTGATGATTGGACTGACGTCTTGGGCACCGGGCTCAGCATTGCCGGGTTGCTCTTGCACCTCGGCCTCCTCTGCCTCAGAATCTGTGTCATCCTCTCCATCTTCAAGTCCTTCATCGGCCTCCGCTTGCAGAGCGCTGAATACGTCGTTTGCGTAAGCCGTCGCTGGGATATCTTGACCCCGGTGCTTCAAATGCGGGCGCCAGGCCGGCACTGGGGCGGGGGCGTCTGTTGGGTGCTCGGTGGTAAGCTCGGTGACTAGCTCGGCGGACGGATCTGCCCGAGCTCTTTTTCCGGCACGTCGTGCAGAGGGTTCTCGGCTGGATTGCCCGGCGGATGGAGTGGCAAGGGCGACCACAGCGCCACTGGATTGACCGGCGGCTGGTGACCGAGTTACTACGCTCGGCACCTCGGCGGATGTGGCGGTGAGCAGGTTCTTGATTCTGCTGCGCTTGGCCATTTCTTGTTCCTCGGTCAGGCGAATGAGGGGAACGTCAGGAAGGGAAGGATCTGGAGGCGGCGAAGGAGCGCGAAGGAAGTCAGTTACTCTACTCCGGCGCGGAGCTGAATACCTGTAGGTCGGTGTATAGCCAAGTAAATCGTTGCAATCTTGGTGACGGTACCTAAGCACGGTCCGAATTGCTTCGACGTTGGGGAATTGATAGTTGGCTTGCAAGGCTTGGATTGCTGCAAAAGAAACAGGAAAACCGGTTAGTTACAAAGTAGAGAATTAAGCTAACCGAGCAAGTTTGAGTGGCTTACATGAAGAACCGAAGTCCTTGTTTATGAACCAGCCCGGCACCTCGGCTGTTTCGTAATTGCCCGACACCCAGAAAAAATCATCGTCGTGAAGATCTTTATCCGGGGTGCCGGTCACAATTTTTTCCTTGTCCGGTCTGATCTTCAAGTAATAAGCCAAATCGTCCCCGGTATGGCCCATTGTGTATTGCCTTAATATCTCGGCTAGACCCAAGTTGGTGCCTAGCCGATTGTTCAATTCGTGAACGCCGTTGATTATTCTATAGGTATTGGTGAACACTTGGGTGGGTGCCAGCCCGGTGCGGCGAAGGAACTCGGTTATAAGAGGGTTGAGCGGGAAACAGAGGCCCCCTTCAACAATTGAGAGCACGGTGAAGGGGCATTGGTCAACTCTTCCCCAGGGTGTGGTCTCCTCTTCAGCCAGTTCGAGATGAACATCGGCCGGAATGCCGTAATCCTCTCTGAAAGCAGCTAGCGCGGCCGGAGTATCCACTAGGAAGCGGAATTTCCCCATTTGTGGCCGGTTTAGTGTATCCCGGCTGAGGGGTTTGGCACTGGTTATTGGATGCTGCTCGGTCCTGAGAGCCTCAGGAATGACAGTGGTCCCCTTGGACTCTACAGGAAAAGGATGGCAAGTGTTAAGTGTTAGCGCGGTCGCGCAAAAGGAGCTGGATTTTAGCTCAGTCATTAAGGGTGCCAAACCACCTTAGTTGTCTATTCTATCTAAGGAGCCCGGTCGCCCAAGCAGACCAGATGTTAGCCCGGTTGAGCGACCAAGTTCTTTTGATTATCTCGGTTTTTGCTGGGTTTGAGACAAACATGTTATTTGCTCGGTCAGGTTGGTTTTTTGGATCAAAAGAAGACCAGGAGCCCGGTTCGCTCCAGTTCTTCAGTGTTCTTCAGGAAGAAGAAGAACACCAAGAACAGAGGAAGGTTCGGTGCGGATTCTACGACCTATGCCCTAATAGCTATGTTTTTGTGCCCTAATGTGTGTATTATGAAAGAAAACAGCAACTTAAGAAGGAATGAAGATCTTACCTGTGAAGGGCTCGAGCTGTCCTTCCAAGCACGAAGAATGGCAGTCGAGATAGAAGAGATGGCTTGAGCTTTGGATCGTCAGGTAGTAGAAAGGCAGTAGGAAGAAATGGCGTTAGGAGGGTCGTGTATATGTAAGAACGAAAAGCCGCCAAAATTCAAAACTCTAGCACGGAAGGCGGGTTGGCTGCCCGATGACCAATGGCAGCCCGCCACGTATCCCTATTTATGGCAATATCAGTACTGAAGCGACGGGTTAAAAAGTCAAAGAGCCAACCGAGCTACTTCCGAAGAAGAGGGCGTCATCCGTGGCGGATAACCAAGCAAGTTTGTGGCCAGTTTGTTAACCAGTCTGGTTGCCTTCTGGCCTCTTGGAGACCGGAGAAGTGTTATCTCGGTCGAAGAGAATAATCCCAGTCACGCTTTCGCGGACGGAATTAAGGGGCAATTGAGAGGGTGATTTATGATCAGGAGTTGGCCGAAGTAACGGCCGAGCAGATTGAGAGCCCAACGGTGCATGGGGCCGAGATGATTGGCCATCCACCAAGAAGTGGGCTGCCAGAACTTGAGCCGAGAAGAACTTGGGCCAAGTGTGAGTCACCCCGGCCCAAGACGGAGCTCGGCTAGATAGCGCCTGGTTGGACCGAGCTGCCTGATTAGGGGATGGCTGAAGCCAGACAAGCTGAATGACCGGCGCTCGGAAAGGCGTGGTCAACCGAGGAGACTGTTTGACCGGCAAAAAGGCCGACCAAAGGAGGTACCCGGGCTGGGCACTGCCGAGATGCCGCCTAGCCCGGTCCTCCATGTGTTTATCCGGTTAGGCGCTTGGGTATGAAGCATGGCATGGCCGTGGTAGAGCAGCTCGGCTACCGAGCTCCAGCTGTGATGTCAGGCAGTTGAGATTAGGTGATGATCGACAAGGTTTACACTGACAGATGGGATAGCAGAGCCACGTGTCAAGAGATGACTGGGAGTGGATATGGGGCTCAGAAGGTATATAAGCATGTCTGCGCCTCCCATACGCGGGACACGAACATCTCTGTAAGGAATTCTTACACTCAACGGAGCTCGGAAGAAAGGAATACGGGCTTGCCGGAATATTTGCTCCCCGTACAAATATGTTTTAATGTTAAACATTTAAAAAATATTTTAAATTTACCTTTTGCACAAGAAAAGAAATTAGTATGAAAATGATATATGTTTTTTGAGTTTTGCAAAAAAAAATAAAATTAAAATGAAAATGTATTATAAGTTTTTCATTATTTGAATAAAAAATACGAAATAAAAGTAACGCTAGGGGCATTCCGAGAATTGAACTCGGGACCTCTCGCACCCTAAGCGAGAATCATACCACTAGACCAAATGCCCAATATGGCATGCGTGTTCTACTATTAATTATTTATTGAAAATAAAGAGCTAAACCCTAGTAAAGACTCAAAAGCGATTCGAAACCTACAAATTTTACGCACCATTTTCACTAGTCGAGAGCTCTGAGATTCAGAGATGGCGAGATCGGCCCTCCTTCACTTGGTTCGTTCGCAGACCACTCATCGTCTCAAGTCCACAACCTCACTCTCTGGTTCTCTCTCTCTCTCTCTCTCTCCTCTTCTGTATATGTATATATGCGTTTTCATGTATGTGTCTGTGTAGATATAATTATACTTACATGTTGGAATTGTGAATGCAAGTAAACTATGTAAATTGTGGACGTTGGATATGCAGTGTGTTTCTGTTTGGATGTGGTAACCTTTCACCAAAATTTTCATCTAATTTGATTCCAAATTCGAGTAAAAAGTTTGATTTGACATGAACTAACCCAATCGTTTTATCAAATTTTCATTAAAATCATGTTTTAAAGAATTTCTCTCTTATCCTAAATTTCCCTTTTCATCAAATTTGATGAAAAAACAAATTCATCTCCGATCTTTTTAAATTTTTATGAAATTCAAATCTGATGAGTTGTCAATTTGATTATAAAAAAAAAAAAATTGATTTGATGAACATTTGATGCTCTTACTGTAGGATACAATTGGTTTCTGTTTGTTCAGATCAAACCTAGACACTTCTGTATATTGATGGTCTAATATTTACTTTGGATCGTTTATGGGAACTTGGGTTGTGTTTGTGTCTTTTGATTTGTGAGAGGGGCATTAGGGCCTTTTTGGTTGTGTTTTTGTTTTCTTTGTTTTTGTGTTTTCGAAAACGAAAATAATGAAAACTTTGAAAACACCCATCACCATAGTTTTCATGTGGTTTTCAGAGAGAAGATACGCGCCCAAGGCCGAGCGCTTCCCCCTTGAAAGGAAGGGGCGGCATGGTATTTCCACGAGAGAGGTTTTCATAAAATTCGTGGCGCACACTATATTGTGCGATGGGCGTACATTAGATTGGGACTCCATGGCCGCTTTGCTGCTTCAGTTTTGCAGCCAAAGTGAAGGATTGCCCTACATTCTCTTTCTCTCTCTCTATCTTTCTCCTCCTCCTCCTCCTCCTCATCATCATCATCCATCACTCTTATCCTCTTCTCTTTCCAATTTTTTATATTTTTTATATTTATATTTTTATTTTTTTATAGAAATTTCTGATGCCTGCGAACACATTTGCCTCTATATATATATATATAGTATTGGAGGCCACACGATGTGTGTGCTATTATTTCTGAAATCAAAATGAGATTGATATTGATGGTTGAATAGTAAAAGTATTCTTTGAATGTGGACATTGACTTGATATTACATATTGCCCCTTTTGTGGTGAAGAGAAACAAACAGAAAATATACATGAGATTTATCGCATGACATGGGCATTTTGGGGAAAAAAATACCATGACAGAGGGTAGGCTACACCAAGTCTTCACATATAATAATTTTATATAGTATATATATGTACTTATGCTTGTCTTTGTATGTGTCTGTGTAGATATTATTCTACTTAGATGTCGAAATTTTGAAAAAGTAATAAACTATGTAAATTATGTACGTTTATGTTGCTGTTTGGATATGCTTATTGTTCGATACAGTTGGTTCAAACCTAGATACTTCCGTACATGCATAATAAGTACTTTGGATTGTTTACTAGAACTTGTGCTGTATTTGGGTTTTGGATTTGTGGAGGGAAAAGAAAAATAAAGATAAAAGAGGGAAAAGAAAAATTAGGGCCTTCTTGGTTTTCTTTGTTCTTGTGTTTTTGAAAAACAAAAATAATGTAAAGTTTGAAAACACCCATCACTCATCGCTTTCATGTGGTTTTCAGAGAGTAGAAACACGCCCAAGGCCGAGCGCTTCCCCCTTGAAAGGAAGGGGTGGCGTGGTATTTCCACGAGAGAGGTTTCATAAAATTCGTGGCGCACACTATATTGTGTGCGATGGGCATACATTATATCGGGACTCCATGGCCGCTTTGCTGCTCTAGTTTTGCAGTCAAAGCAAAGGATTGCCCTACATTCTTTTTCTCTCTCTCTCTCGCATCATCATCCATCGCTCTTATCCTTTTCTCTTTCCATTTTTTTAATAGAAATTTCTGATGCCATAGAACTCATTTGCCTATATATATATATATACCAGTATTTGAGCCCACGCGATGCGTGTGCTATTATTTTTTAAATCTAGAAGAGATCAATGTTGACGGTTGAACCTGTAAGAAGTTTGCTTTGAATGTGGATATTGACTTGATATTACATATTTGCCTCTTTTGTGGTGAATAAATAAAGATAAAAGAGGGGGAAAAGAATTAGGGCCGTTTTGGTTGTGTTTTCGTTTTGTTTCAAAAACAAAAATAATGAAAAGTTTGAAAACACCCATCACAGATAATTTTCCTGGAGATAAGTAATTTGGTTGGAAGGGATTCCCAGAGCTTGTAAGTTGTGTATATGACACCTGTCTTTGCTTTAGCACATCACATAGCCATTGGGTGTAGCTCCGGGTTCGTAACTTTGTATGGTGCCAAACCTCAACACACTGGTCATTCCCTCAGGTTTCTGTAACCTAGAGATTTTCGAACTTGAAAAACTAGAAAAAGTAACTTTCAATTCTATAGCCGTCAATTTATTTGACAATTTTGTATCTAATAGATGGACTGTCATGATCGGGGATTTTTATTCACTGGTTTGTATGATGACTTCGAAAGAGTTGTGGACTGGGCATGTTGGTTTCTTTGCTTAGATTCAGAGTGAAGTCTCAAAAATGTTGTGAAGATTGAAAAATGTGCTTGGTATAATGTTATGTTGTGTAGTTTATGTGACTAGACGTAGTTGTAAAGCTCCAAATTATTTATTCTTTGTTTGGAGTCACTATTATTTCCCTTATCCTAATTAAATTAAAAGTAAATGATGTTTGTACTTAAAAAGTGAAGCTCATACAAAAGCATATGATTCATTATTATGGTAGTTTATATTGTATTATTGTTCTATTTTTGCTAATAAATTTATCGTTCTATTTTTTCTAATAAAATTATCTTTCACAATTCTTGATATAGAATTTATGTCATTCACTTACGACTTAGCCTCTGTTACAAACCTATATTTCTTTCCATTAATGCTTTGTAACATGCATAGACACACTTCTCCTCATAGACCAGAAGGCATCCACACCGTGTTGCATTGATCTTTCAAGGTCTTAAGGTGTCCATTTTGGCAATGTTTTTTTTTTTCCCCTGTGCTTTTTACATGCTTATGTGTGAAAGTGGAGTTGGCAAAGAGGTTGTCATTCCGATCAAAATGCTAGGGACTTGTTCCCTAGGCCACAAAATAAGAAATAAGATTGGGTTTTGGGGGCATGGTATCGTACTAGTTTTGCGGAATACAACTTTTGAAGAAATGCCAAAAGTTGTCCTGATTGTGCAAACAAAAATTATGTACTTCTATGTTTCAAATTACTCTTAGTTGCATCTAAAGAGGAAAGTCAAAATGCTAGAGATATTTTCTCATAACATTTGATATACTGAAGTCTTTCTTTTCAGTAGAAGATCTTGCAGCTATAACGAAAATTAAAATGGAGTTGTAAACTGTTTGACACCTTTTTCACATGCACCATTGAATTTGTATGCAGACAAGCAAACCTATATGTCTTGTTAGTTGACTTTTTACGTTATTCATTTACATATAAGAGTTGTATATAAAATATCAATACAAACTCTCCATGCAGTTATGAGAGTGACAAACAATTTTACTATTTCTTTTATCAAAATTTTAATTGCATCTCCTTATTTAAGATCAGCCCTACATATTATGACAAGTAGTGAACCACACCAATTTCATTTGGAAATGCAAATGCAAGGTCCAATTAATTCCAATTTTTTTTTTGACAGCATATAATGAGAACTTCATTAGATGGGCCTTTTATTTTTGTATTGCCCATAGGAACTCTGTGATACCACACATTATATTGGCAACTGGCAACACAGTGTGGAACATATACATGTTCAATGCCCATAGGGATTATATAATGCCGCACATGATGTTTGCAAAGGCTTTGTGTGACACTATCACTACCATTTCATATAATCTTGTCTCTCTATGGAAGAATGTAAATGTCGATTCATTTGCGGTTATGACTTCTCAAATTATGGATTTAGCCACACATTGGAAGCTCCAGACAAGTTGTTTAGAAAAAGTAAGAAATCCCAGTTCGATGAATTCTTGAACTAAGGGCTATAATACCAAAGTCACTTTTTGTTAACACTTTTTGCTGCATAATGATGTCCTTCATAAATAGTTAAATTGTTATGTATTACTTGTATACGTTGATGTGTTAGTTCACCAGCACTCTGTAGAAGCTTGACCTTTGGTATTTTAAAAATTACCACTCATGTTCTCTAAAATATGCAAAATTCATGCCTCTTGGCTTGCTTGAACCCCTTGTATCTTGATTGTGCTGACTCTTTAGGCTTTCCTCCAGATACAAACTCAACTACAGATTGTTGGCTATTGATGGTTGATTACCTTTTCCATTTGAGTAAAAAAATTTCCTTATTAACTCAACGTGGTTGTCAGTGAGCTTTTTGGCTTGGAAATTCAGAGATGCACATTTTTAAGGTTACTGTTAACAGTTTTTTGCTGCTTCAGGTTATTATCCCCGTAAGTTCGGAACATGGTCGCCACACCCTCTGAGTACCAATACCAACCTCAACTCTGCTTCACAGTTTGCCATTATGCAAAAAAGATGGGCATCTCAATCCCCAAGGGAAGATGACAAGATCAGCATTGGACCTCGTAGAGGAGTAGAAGCTGGGGATGATGATAAGGATACAGGGGTTGCTTATTATGGACCGATCTCAAGTACTATCAAGAAAGTGAAGCTCCTCTCTCTTTCCACCTGTTGCCTATCCGTGTCTTTAGGACCTGTCATAACATTCATGACATCTCCTGACTCAAATGTGATCCTAAAGGGGGCAGTGGCTTCTTCGGTTATCTTCTTCAGTGCTTCAACCACCGCTATTCTTCACTGGTTCGTGAGCCCTTATATTCACAAGCTCAGATGGCGGCCTGGTTCAGACAGCTTTGAAGTCGAGATGTTGTCATGGCTAGCAACATCTATTCCGAAAACCATCAAGTTTGCGGATATCAAGCTGCCGGAGACAAACAGGCCTTTTGTGACATTTAAAGCTGATGGAAAATTTTATTTTGTTGATGCCGACCACTGTCACAACAAGGCTTTGTTAGCTAGACTGACCCCACAGAAGGCAACGCAAGAGTCGGCTTTTAAGAATTTGTGACTGAGAAGATTTTGATGAGAACTTTTTAGTTTGTATGTTTTGGCTCAAACTATTACTATGGCTTGTAATGAACAAAATGATCAGAGCTTTGAGCTTATTATGGGATTTTTATCTGTTTTCGTTAAAATTAACAGGATTATCCATATTTTGTTTTTTTGTGTCTTTTTGACAATCAATAAATTGATGTATGAAGTTTTACACCTACACATTCAATTGGGTGAGTTTGAAGTTTCAGAATAATGATCCACTTTTCAATGTTTTGGTTGAGCTGATAGCCAAAAACCCCAAATCATGTTTTAACTGTTATTTTCATCTTTGTATCTTTTTTCCTTGTTTAACTCTCTCAAGTACTTATCGGATATTTCTTTTTGCGGAATTATGCTTCACTTCTTATTTCTTGGATGAATTACATTTTTCACCCCTATAGTTTAATTTTAATTTTATTTTAATATTTATTTTTACAATTTGAACAATTTGATATTTACAAGTTAT